AGTGTGACAGCGTTGGGAAGAGCAAGATTCTCATTACCTTTCTTGGAGTTGGGTGTGTATGCTACTTTTATGGTGTGGTACAGGTATTAATGACAGGTTGAACACATTTATTAACAATATTTGACGAGTTTGATGAGGTTTGTAGGCATTTTTACTCAGCCATATATTATACAAGGAGTGAGTGGGCATGTTAGCACCAATCAATAGGGCGTTAACAGCACAGAATAATTTGTCTGTGAGGTAAGTAGATGTAGAGTCTCTCATGCCTTTACGGCAGAAGGTGGTGTTGACTTGCATGATTCTCTCAAGTGCATGTGGTTGGAAGCTTCAGTTCTTCCCGCATGCTGATGGTTCTTGTGCGTCTTGGGGCGCAAAGAATCGCACTCGCTGCTTCACTCTGTACAACTTCTCCCGTGTTCAAAACAGGCGGGGAAGGTAATTAGGTGCAGGGCTTGGTGATTAACTCGTTCCCTCCCCAGGGTGTGTTGACCCGGTGGTGGAAAGGGGGGGGAGGTGGAAGACTATCCTCAGCGGTAGTTTATTGTGCACCCCATATTCATCCTGTGAGCGGTAGTTTATTGTGCACCCCATACTCATCCTGTGAGCGGTAGTTTATTGTGCACCCCATACTCATCCTGTGAGCGGAAGCGCAAAAGGATTACATAAGGCACAAAAAGTCTTAATCAAACCTAATCTGCGATATTACATTACCTCTTAAAAATATATCTGCACACCTTTATAATTAATTATAATGATAGGTGGCCCCAAACTTCTTGCGCGGCAGACGCCATTAATTGGTGTGCCCTGGGGTCAGATTCACGAAGCAGTTACGCAAGTACGTACGAACCTGCACATCTTTCCTCAGTCTTTGACGGCTTTGTTTACAATTATTAAACAGTTTACAAGCATGAAAACTTCCCAATCAACTGTTATTGTTATAACAATATGAAGCACCTCCCGGTGCTTCAGAGCTCATTAACTGTTTAATAATTGCAAACAAAGCCGCCAAAGATTGAGAAGATGTGCAGGTTCGTGCGTACTTGTGTAACTGCTTCGTGAATCTGGGTTCCCAGGAGTGTGGTTCGGGCGCCTCCCTGCTCAGTCTCCTGTCATCTCTTAAGACCTGAAATAGCTTTAATCTCACATATTTTCCTCCTTTTATAAGGGTTTTGGTGTTGTCTGGCACCCTGCCCGGTCGCGTTCGTCACAGACTTGTACTAAACTATAGTATTGTTCTCCTCGACCGTTCTTTCGCACCAGTTTTGTAAGGGGCGTTCAGGGCGTGGGTGGGGGCACCTGCTGGCGTTCAGGGCGTGGGTGGGGGCACCTGCTGGCGTTCAGGGCGTGGGTGGGGGCACCTGCTGGCGTTCAGGGCGTGGGTGGGGGCACCTGCTGGCGTTCAGGGCGTGGGTGGGGGCACCTGCTGGCGTTCAGGGCGTGGGTGGGGGCACCTGCTGGCGTTCAGGGCGTGGGTGGGGGCACCTGCTGGCGTTCAGGGCGTGGGTGGGGGCACCTGCTGGCGTTCAGGGCGTGGGTGGGGGCACCTGCTGGCGTTCAGGGCGTGGGTGGGGGCACCTGCTGGCGTTCAGGGCGTGGGTGGGGGCACCTGCTGGCGTTCAGGGCGTGGGTGGGGGCACCTGCTGGCGTTCAGGGCGTGGGTGGGGGCACCTGCTGGCGTTCAGGGCGTGGGTGGGGGCACCTGCTGGCGTTCAGGGCGTGGGTGGGGGCACCTGCTGGCGTTCAGGGCGTGGGTGGGGGCACCTGCTGGCGTTCAGGGCGTGGGTGGGGGCACCTGCTGGCGTTCAGGGCGTGGGTGGGGGCACCTGCTGGCGTTCAGGGCGTGGGTGGGGGCACCTGCTGGCGTTCAGGGCGTGGGTGGGGGCACCTGCTGGCGTTCAGCGCGTGGGTGGGGGCACCTGCTGGCGTTCAGCGCGTGGGTGGGGGCATCTGCTGGCGTTCAGCGCGTGGGTGGGGGCACCTGCTGGCGTTCAGCGCGTGGGTGGGGGCACCTGCTGGCGTTCAGCGCGTGGGTGGGGGCACCTGCTGGCGTTCAGCGCGTGGGTGGGGGCACCTGCTGGCGTTCAGCGCGTGGGTGGGGGCACCTGCTGGCGTTCAGCGCGTGGGTGGGGGCACCTGCTGGCGTTCAGCGCGTGGGTGGGGGCACCTGCTGGCGTTCAGCGCGTGGGTGGGGGCACCTGCTGGCGTTCAGCGCGTGGGTGGGGGCACCTGCTGGCGTTCAGCGCGTGGGTGGGGGCACCTGCTGGCGTTCAGCGCGTGGGTGGGGGCACCTGCTGGCGTTCAGCGCGTGGGTGGGGGCACCTGCTGGCGTTCAGCGCGTGGGTGGGGGCACCTGCTGGCGTTCAGGGCGTGGATGGGGGCACCTGCTGGCGTTCGGGGCGTGGGTGGGGGCACCTGCTGGCGTTCGGGGCGAGCGTCGGGGCACCTGCTGGCGTTCGGGGCGTGGGTGGGGGCACCTGCTGGCGTTCGGGGCGTGGGTGGGGGCACCTGCTGGCGTTCAGGGCGTGGGTGGGGGCACCTGCTGGCGTTCAGGGCGTGGGTGGGGGCACCTGCTGGCGTTCAGGGCGTGGGTGGGGGCACCTGCTGGCGTTCAGGGCGTGGGTGGGGGCACCTGCTGGCGTTCAGGGCGTGGGTGGGGGCACCTGCTGGCGTTCAGGGCGTGGGTGGGGGCACCTGCTGGCGTTCAGGGCGTGGGTGGGGGCACCTGCTGGCGTTCAGGGCGTGGGTGGGGGCACCTGCTGGCGTTCAGGGCGTGGGTGGGGGCACCTGCTGGCGTTCAGGGCGTGGGTGGGGGCACCTGCTGGCGTTCAGGGCGTGGGTGGGGGCACCTGCTGGCGTTCAGCGCGTGGATGGGACCCCTGCTGGCGTTCAGCGCGTGGGTGGGTACACCTGCTGGCGTTCAGCGCGTGGGTGGGTACACCTGCTGGCGTTCAGCGCGTGGGTGGGTACACCTGCTGGCGTTCAGCGCGTGGGTGGGGGGCACCTACTGGCGTTCAGTGTGCCAGAGGAGCACTTGAGACAACAGTTGGCACCCACTCTCCCATATTAGGTGGCACCTTACTAGTATGCAGGCAGCTGTAGCCCGCCAAGACGGTGCCGATGCAGCCCGTCCTCCTAAGGTTTCCCAGCGTCAAGAAAACGATCAATTTAAGTGTCCTCTCCTAACTTACCAGAGGACCCAAAACAGAAAATGGGACAGTACGTCACTTTCGGGAGTCGCTTCCATTTCCAAGTACGAAAATTTGTGGCCTTACGTAGCGCAGACGAGCGAAATGCGACGTTCTTTGTAACAGGACAGGTTGGCCGATGACCTCACAGTGCCTCTGGCACCTCGAGGGGGGCCATAGGCACCTTTCCCAGTTCAAAGATCTCGTATTGTATGGCGGCCGCCGTCTCAATGAGGTCATTCTGGGTGAGTCATGCTGCGAGGGTGATATATGAGGAATGTTGGCACTCTAGCGGCAGCGTGACTCGTCAGGACGTCTGCCATTGTCATAGCCAAGTGTCGCTAGGGGGGTGTAGGGGTAGTGCCATTCTCGTAGGTGCTGAACGCTGCCAATGTCATATGTCACAAACGTGTTATTCTTATTATATAAACAGGTCATATATAAATGGTACCAGGTGTACAGTGTAGCCTGTCATACGGTACCAGGTGCACAGTTTCACCTGTCATACGGTACCAGGTGCACAGTTTCACCTGTCATACGGTACCAGGTGCACAGTTTCACCTGTCATACGGTACCAGGTGTACAGTATAGCCTGTCATACGGTACCAGGTGCACAGTGTAGCCTGTCATACGGTACCAGGTGTACAGTATAGCCTGTCATACGGTACCAGGTGCACAGTGTCACCTGTCATACGGTACCAGATGCACAGTGTCGACTGTCATACGGTACCAGATGCACAGTGTCGACTGTCATACGGTACCAGATGCACAGTGTCACCTGTCATACGGTACCAGATGCACAGTGTCACCTGTCATACGGTACCAGGTGCACAGTGTCACCTGTCATACGGTACCAGGTGCACAGTGTCACCTGTCATACGGTACCAGGTGCACAGTGTCACCTGTCATACGGTACCAGGTGCACAGTGTCACCTGTCATATGCCACCAGGTGCACAGTGTAGACTGTCATATGCCACCAGGTGCACAGTGTCGACTGTCATACGGTACCAGATGCACAGTGTCACCTGTCATACGGTACCAGGTGCACAGTGTCACCTGTCATACGGTACCAGGTGCACAGTGTCGACTGTCATACGGTACCAGATGCACAGTGTCGACTGTCATATGCCACCAGGTGCACAGTGTCGACTGTCATATGCCACCAGGTGCACAGTGTAGCCTGTCATATGCCACCAGGTGCACAGTGTCGACTGTCATATGCCACCAGGTGCACAGTGTCGACTGTCATATGCCACCAGGTGCACAGTGTAGACTGTCATATGCCACCAGGTGCACAGTGTAGACTGTCATATGCCACCACCTGAGCAGCATCATAGGTCAAGCCACTGAACTGTGCACCGGTAAACATGTTGCAAAAGTTGCTTCCGACGATGTGTGTTGTACCATCCACTCTACAACTTGAATGGCCTTTTAAGTTGGAAGTGCCGATTGAATATGTATTGGAGATATATCGGAGGGCAAACCCTTGCTAAGAAAGCTAACTTGACCTTTTGACCTCCTTACATCCAAATTCATCATATTTATATTCAAGTAACTCCTTACATCTAAATTTATAATATTTGTATTCAAGTAACGTTAAGAGTGTTCGCGAAGTGTAAGCAAAGCCAGTTTACAGTTTGAATACCTTGCTGGTACCTTCACAGTGTGGAGACTTAGTCATGGCAATCAAGGAGAATGTTTTTCATGTAAAGTTCTATAGTATGAGAGTGATCGTTGTAGGGGCTCCGTGTGATTCAACGTCAAGTGAACAAAGTGAACCTTGTTGGTGACCCATAATTGTACTGTTTTTACAGAACAAGCAGAGTCCGGTGGAGGACCTGTTGAACCAGGCCGACCAGCTCATCTCCACGCAGCATCCAAGGGCCGAAGTCTACGCCTCCATGGCCGAATCGCTCGGCCTTGCCTGGAAGGACCTCAACGCGCAGCTAGAGACGAGGAAGCAGATACTCGACATGGGCGTTGCCTTCCACACGTGAGTCTTGACCGACGACACAAGCAGGGCTGGGGTTGCAACCTACTCTCGCACAAGACAGCACAGCTTATAGTCACTATTTCGCTTATAAATAAGTATATATGTGACATATTCTATAGCTTTTCAAGGTAAACTCAAATATTCACAATAAATTACTGTCTCGCATGCAGTTATTCATAAGCAAGATATTGACTATAAGCAAGTGCGAGAACGGGTTGGGCTCTCAGTCCTGCCAGCCACGCTCTCCCCAAGTCATACTTATTTATATATAAATGATCACAAGATGACAAAACACAGATCTCCAAAAATGTCAGTAAACCACATTGAAAAGTAACGAACTTTGTCTTAGCGTTTGCGAACACAGTCATCAGTGTGGAATGGACGAGTAGATGGAAGAATATTTGGATGGATAGATGAGTAGACGGACAGATGGGTAGATAGTTGGATAGATAGATGGAGCAATAGATGGTTGGATCGTTGAAGGCACCTGTACATAGCCGTACAGACATAGGTTTATGTCGAATAGACATTTCAGGTAACAATGTATGCCTTTCCTCACTGATCATGACCGGAAAATAGAACGCGAAAGAAGAATATAAGCTGGATAAGTTTAGAAAGAACAGGAAATTATGAGGAAAAAGTGCTAAGTCAGTATGACTATAGTCCCCCCATATGGTCACCATTTGGTCCGGGAGACATCTCCCGTCACGCAGGGTGCAGTTGCGCCTCCACAGATCTCCAGTATCATCTTTTGATACTGGCAATGGCTCAAAAGGGTCACCACTTACGGGCTATTCATGCCCGTGCCACCTCTTGGGTGGCTTTATCTTCATCAATCAATCAGTATGACTATATAGCACATGTAAGGGATATAATGACACGGAGCTGGGATAAGTCGGAGAGGAAAGAATGATGCCCAGCCATTTGAACCATCGGGTATCGAACACCGACCTGCAAGAAGCAAAGCCTTCGCTGTACTGGCCAGTCCAAGATTGTTTAGATTCAGGAAAGATGCGGATAAATGCTGATTTGGAAATAGGATTGCTGATTTATGGAGTAAATTATCTGGTAACATAATAGATGTAGGCTCGCAGAACTGTTTGTTAGGTGTGTAGGTTAGACTTGTGTATGAATGGGTTTGGGTGGATGTAAACAGGAGCTGCCTCGTAGGTCATCTCCAGTGCTTATTAATCCTTTATTCTTATGTATTTATGTGTATCCTAAGGCGCATACTATGATGCATCTCTCTCAGACGAGCCCAGCAGTACAGCGACAGCATGGATGCTGCTGAACGAGCCTACACCGATAATGTGATGCCCAGTGATGCCGAGGGAGTCAGACAGCTCCTGTCATCGTTACATGATCACAAACGAGCAATTCTCGAGGCCTCCATGTATACCTTGCAAGAGGCACAGGCCCTCTTGGCAAGACTCAGGGGCTTATCTACCGAGGGCGCCACGCTTGACTCCAGACCTCTTCACATCAAAACTAATATAGAGTTTGGTGAGTTGGCATTCTACAAAAACAAAAAAAGGATTTAAATAAGTTAATTAGTACAATATTTCATTACTGGAACCAAGATATTTTACAGTTGTATCATTATCATTACATATATTGTCAATATCACTGAGGTATTAGTAAGAGTGGCCTTATATTGACGTGATATTTCTTTGGGCCGCAATCAGCCTGTTCTCAGATCGAACATTACCTCGAGTCCCTACACGACCGTCGAAGGTTCCTGGATGGCCTCTTCTCCGCCAGGAAACACCATCTAGAACAGTGCCTGGCCCTCTGTATTCTCTACCAGGTTAGAAGCTGATCTCACACACTCTAAAATGTTATCTACATTTAAATCTACACGTTGGGTTAATAGCTGATTTCTTTTTTAGTAAAAAGATGGTAATATTTCGTAATTATGCTAACAATATTCATTAAGTAAGAGAAAATAATATGCACTGGTTGTATATTTCATTATATTGATAGTTTTATATAAGGCTGCTAATTATATAATAAAATTGAAAGTAATTAACAGAGCATTGCTAATACAGTACAGAATATAGAAAGGTTGCAGAGAATTGTTGTGTTTATATTAAAACCGAACTGAAGAAAACATAATATAGTCAAATCAGTGTCTCATCACTGGAGGGAGAGGGAGTGATACATGTTTAGTACCTTCCCCAGCTGTGCTGTCTCATTACAAGAGGGGGAGGTGTGGGGATACATATATTACCTCCCCCAGCTGATTTGTATGATTACAAATCATACCATTTGTAATATTATATGTCAACATTATTGGTATTTCTGCCCCATTCAGGATCTGACAGAAGCAGTGACAGCTCTCAAACAACTGCGGGATGAGGTCTCACAGCATCAGGGGCTGGGAGAGTCTCAGAGCAATGCTGAGATTCTCTACCATGAGCACATCAAGCGAGAAGTTGCTGCTAAGGTTTGTTCTAGTCTTGTATAGTGAATTAAATATTGTACCAAGTTCTGTGCCCCAGTGGTCCTCGCAGTCGAGTCACAGCCGAGTCACAGCTGCATTCTCGCAATTGGACAGAAATGTTTGGGCAACATTTCCTTTCATCTGATGCCTCTATTCACCTATCAGTTAATAGGTACCAACTGTTGTTGGATACATCCTGAGGAAGGTTAATAGTAGGCCTGTGGGGAGGTAAGACCTCGATAAGTCTGGAAGGCTTCCTGTCCCTAACAAGAAACCAAAATTTTAACCATGTGTAACATTAAAATGATCATATGTGGCTAGCTTTGTTATATATTATTTGTCTTCTCTTTTATAATGTGCTTGTTCTAGAGTGTAACTCTCTCACATCAGGGGCAGCAAGACAGGTGTATTAGGCTGCTCAAAACTGCCGAGAACATGGCTTCAGGGGGACACTACGCCGGCCTGGAGGCTCGCTCCAGGGCCTACTCGGTTCTGGAGGCTGCCACCGCGCTCCACGAGACCTGCGACACACGTACTGCTCTCCTCCAGCAAGCCATCCTTTTCTTCAGACTGGCTCACACTGTAAGTCTCGCTCATGCGCTAATCTGGCTCTCTCTGGACCACACTGGCTCGTGCCATAAGTCTGGATCACACTGGTTCATAGAGTACATTTAGCTCACATTGTAAGTCTGGCTCATACTGGTTAATGCTGTAAGTCTGGCTTATATTATAAATCTAGCTCACATTGGCTCGTACTGTAGTTCTTCCTTATACTGACTCATACTGCAAATCAGGCTCATGGTGTAGGCTAAAAAATTAATTGGGCTTGCTCTTCTTAATGTGTGAGTACTCTATTGTAATAATATTATTTGTAGTTTTCGATTATTAGATGATGTGCTTTAAGAAAAAGGATTCAAGTACACTAATTATATTTCGGACCATATGTGTATACTGTATTATTCAAAAGCTTGAACAAACTAAATTTAGAGGTCAAGAAAAAGTAAAGCATAATTTTGGCAATAATATTTTGTCTTTGTATTTTATTTAGAGTACCTTACATCACTGGTGAAGGACATTCCTAGTTATATTGCCATTCAGATCTTCAGTTTCAGTAAAATGTTTAATTGCAATATGAATGTTGTACATTCCTCGAGAAGGAATTCTTTACATAATCAAAAGTTCATTGTTGGTTAAACATTTTGCATTCTTATACAGAATATTGGACTGTGATTTGAATCCTGTGGTACAGGTACAGTTCAAATTTTGATAGCAGGGTAATGTGTACAGTATATGGCAGCCATATTTTTTTTTGAGTACTCCATAAATAATCACAACTTTTTCATGTGAACCCCTATATATTTAAATGAAATGAGCACATTTCCTTCTGCAAATGTATTGTGAATTAAAACAGTATTGGCCTGACAAAATACAACTTAGAACTGGATAGTGTCTTATCACTAGCCACTACCCAAGCTTAATGCTCTTTAGTGAAGATATTACACATAGTGACAAGGACAAATTAAAAATTACGCCTTCTTACATCACAAGCAAAATTTTGAATGTTAATAAAACTTTAGGAGGTTTGATGAATGTTTAATGACTTTACAATTGAATGAACAATGCAGTTAAGACAAGTATTATAATTTGATTAGTTATTTTGTAATTTAGGCTGTCTTGTCAAGAGTGTAATATAAGACTGTATAGTCAAATCAGTGTCTCATCACTGGGGAGGAAGGGAGTGATATATGTATATTACCTGCCTGAACTGTGTTGTGTGTCATTACTAGAGACAGGGGTTTCATTTAAGGCAGGGGGGTTAAAGTAGAAGTTTCCTTTTGTACTTTATAAAGTACAGTACAAAGGAAACTTGAACAACCAGTATTGCTCAGTATTGAGGTACTGTATAGCCTGTTATGCTTTCTTTTCATAGGCATTAACAAAGCTGGACCAGGCTGAGGTGCAGGTGGCAGGTCTTGGCGGGGAAGGCTCCCAACGCCTCTCTCTAGTGCTGGGTGTGGTGGAAGAGGCTGTCCAACCCGCACTCACAGAAGGCTATGCCATCCTCGAGGTCACTGGTGGCAGAAATCAGCCACACAATATGGTAAGGCAATCTTTTTATTTGTTGGTTTTTATTTTTATTAAAGATACTACAGTATACAGTATTGCTATTTGTTATTTTACCCTTTTATTTTATAAAAAGAATCATTTTAATTTCAAAAGGTGAAACTCATGGTATTAATGTATAATAATAATAATAATAATAATAATAATAATTTTTATTTAGGCAAAGGTACATACATAAAGAGATTTTACAAAGTTTGTTGGCTTTATAGATAGAGCTATAATAGCTCTATAATAATATAATATTAATACATAGTTTGGAATGAAGTGTCTTAATTTTCAGGTATTTAGTGAAGTTTTCAAAATAGATTTATAACGACCTTCTAGTACACATGACTAATTCTGATAAATAAATCAATACAGTATGTATTTAATTTACTTATGGTCATAATGAAAAATGCAAATTAAATTTGACTTTTGGCTTGGTATGTTTTTTTTTTTTTTTTTTTTTTTTTTTTTTTTTTGCCTAACATATTGAGCAACTTTTCCATACTGTATTTCCCTTTAATGAGGTTGTACAAGGATAAACATTCAGATATGGTAAATGACATGAAGTTTGTCCATGAATGTTCCTTAACTGTACTTTATTCTTGATCAGTTTTGTATTAACAAAAATGTTTTAGGTAGAGAAAGGCCATTTCAAGTTGGAATAATCTGATACTGTTTCTTTGTTTTGCAGGGAATATCATTGGTGGTGGAGGAACTGGAGCGTCGTCGTAGTAACTTGTCTTCCATATGTGTGTCTTCAACAGAACAGGTTCTCCAGCGCACAGAACTCTCTAATGCCTTCCTAGAGCAGTATAATACTGTAAGTTTTACTTGCAATAAATTTGAGCTATTTCTGTAATGCTGTGTATACAGTAGAATTTTTGTAGAGCAAGACCACATATTTTCTATGTCTAAAATTGTACAATATTATTATTATTTTCTGTACTGTGGCTCTTGCAGATTGCAAATATAATTTTTAGTGTAGTCAAGATAAGAGTTTAAGCAGTGAAGATAATATCTGTGTAGTGGAAGCAGGACTCAAATACAGTAATGACAATACAAATAATGTAATGGAAATAATTGAACTTGTATCAGTATGGGAATTTTTTGGCAATGGCAGACTTTTTTGAGTGGAGAAACAATTGTGTTGGTAAAATGTTGTAATTCATTAAAATAATTTTGTTTAATGTAGAATTACTAATAAAAATCTCACATTTTCATCACTTTATTATACAGATTGAATCTTGGCTGGTTCGCATTGGTGATGCCTTTCTGCAAGGACACCAAGATCCCGGCGGATCCCTCAGTCTTGCCAAAGACTTCCTTCACCTCCACGAAACACTCAATCGTGATGTTATGGTACTAATTGTAGATTATCTATGTACAGTAGTTTGATTAATGCAATAATGTGACACGAGTGTGATGTTTTTGAATGGCTTTTCTTAAACTTCAGCTATAGCATAATTCCATAAAATTTGTAATTTTACAGGAGAAGAAAAACGAAATCGATGCTCTTTCAACTTTCCTCGACAAACTCTTACCCGACTTGTCAGCAGAAGAAGGTATAGGCTACCAAGAAAAGATGCACACGCTTCAAGAACACTGGAATATTCTAAAGAAGCTCTTAGGTCAGTTGTAATTTAAATTTGATATAGTTCACAATAGAAAATACAGTTTAAATTCAAAATAAATGGCCAAATATAAATCTGCATTTAATTTTTTTTTTATTTCAAATAAACATACTTTATTGATGCTGAGAGATTGAAAATATTAAGGGAATTCTAAATACAGTGTTGCAAATTAAAATCATGACACAATTCATTCCTATTGTCAGAAATGTTATTTTCCTCTTAGAACACAAGACCAAATTAAACTATATAAAACTTATTGCTCCATACAAGGCAGCTCATAGACAGCCCGGAATACTAAATGCAATTACGAAGACTTTATAAGGACAAAAAATTCCAGTGAACACATCCATGCGAACTTTTCATGTGTATTATTTGTTTGTGTGTTATTATTAAATATTTCCTTTTAATACATTATTATTTCAAACAGATATTCGCATTGTAATTAGTGACAAGTATGTGAAGTTCCACGAAGAAGCCGAAGCTGTGAATAATGCACACGAAGAACTTGAACTACTCCTCAAGGAAGCTAAGGGTGAAGATCGGGGAGCTGAGGTGGAAGCCAAGTGGGAACAGGTGCAGAAACTGTATCTTGACCTTTGTAACACAGGGAAGGCATTCTGCCAAGATGTCAGAAGTGTAAGTTGTATTGAAATTGTATAAATAGGAAAGCTTATGCTTTTATTGTGTGTCAATGAGTACTCATGTTAAATGTTATTAAGTCTCAGTACTGTAAATTTAAAATTTGACTTGTTAAAATATCTTGCCCCAAAGATATCGAGGAAATTATTGTATAAATAATGATTTAATTCCAAGTTTGAATATTGCCATAGGTAGAGGATCCCTACCTGGACTCCAACCGTGCTGTGTTGTGCGTAGAGTCTATACTAGAACACCTGGGCAAAAGACGTCTGGTCATCACTGACTTGCATTCCCACTTCCATATGAAAATTACTACAACCAAAGAAATGATGATCTTGTGGAAGACTTACAAAGAAAATGTCAGTAAGGTAAGATGGTTGAAGAGAGCAGATAGTGTGGACAACAGCTTAGTAAAACACAAAGATGAGAGTAGACTTTATTTGGGGCTACTTTAGCATGTGGTTTACTGCAGTATCCCTAGTCTATGCTGAGTAAATGACCTGACCTGACCTGTCTACCGAGACCTCGGTTGTTGATGTGGTTTAGGTTAGGTTAGGGGGTGAGGTAGATCACACGCTAAAGTGGAAATGGCTAAGGAGGTCGCATGCTAAAGTGACACCCTTTATATGTACTGTATGTAACATTTTGCCAGTATAGGGGCTTTCTCAAATCTAATGCACATTCACAGGGCTAGTGCTTATAATGATGAAAAGGGAGGAAAGGGTTACCTCATTCCTCCATATTTTTTCCTTTTGTTGGAGTTGATAAAGACTTTGCAGGTGGAACATTGTCTATAAGTATGTCTACAGTACTCTTTTTTACTGGCATTTCTCTGCAAGGTAAGAGAAAGAGGTAAATGCAAAAGAGGTGTAATTATAAAGAATTAATTATGACAAGAGTAGCATTATGTATGTACATCTGTGAAAGTGTGTGCTTGTATTTTTTATTATTGTAATTCTGGCAGATCTATAACTAGAATTATTATTTGTTTTAACTTAGCAACTTCAGTAAGATTAATATTCCACACCATTAGTTAGCCTATTAAAGCTGCTGTTTCCATAGTATACACGTAATGTAAAGTTCTGCCATTTTTTCTTAGAAATGCAATATGAAATGTTTTATTTTATATGTTTGTGGTGTGTGCTTGCAAATTCTAATTCTTGTTGTTGACGTGTTTGTTTCCAGATGCAGTCTGAAATGTCTCAAATGGAAACTGACTTCTGCCCACTCTTAAGAGGAAACCCAGCAGATCCTGAGGGTATGGCAAGCACATTGGAACAGCGACTAAATATTTATGTCTCTGCTGTAAAGAAAACTCAAGAAGATATTCAGAACATGATGACTAGAGCAGAAGTCATGTCATACAAAGGTACATTATTATTAACGTTTAAAATTCATGATCAGGTGAATTATTTTGATGGAAGTGTTTCTGTGATTGTTTTCGAATATCACAAGATGGTTAAATAGTTTGAGAATAAATTTAGAAGCACATTTATCTGCATAAAATGAAGTGTCTTCCATGTAGTACTGTAATTTATATTAATTTCGGCAGGTGATGATGAGGGACAACGTGACGAAGTTATTGGTGCCCTTCTGCAGCTGTACCAGAATCTACAGAATAAAGCCACCGAGTATCAAATCTTGGGACACATGCTTATACAGTGGTGTAGAAACATTGCTGAGGTTAGAATATATTTAATTTTGGAACTCCACAGCAGAAAGTTTAAATTAATTTTAATGCATAATTATGTGATTTGGTGAAGAAGGGAAGCAATTGAAGTGAGAAGATTGATATACTCTGATGTTTATTATTTAACGGTCTTTTGGGAGTAGGAGCTCTTTACAAGACACACATTTACAATAATTTTTAACCTTTATTCATGATAACATCCTAGTGTCATCCATACAGCAATCAAATATTATTGTTGCAATGTAGATGCACGAATTGTTAATATCTCATTGAAGACAAGCTATTTCTGAAAAAAATACATTAATTGGCCAATTTTGTTGTAAGTAAAGAAACTGTATTACTATGCAAATCACTAAAATAAACAGCTTGTAAAAAAGAAATTAGTTGAACTCTATGAATATGTAAGCATTTTGTATAATCATTTCACAGATCAGCAGTCTTGAAATCCATCTACACTTATTCCACTGGCTTCCTATCCCCACCATAGCTAATAAGTTTTGTGGACAGGTAAATACAAGTAAATATGTACTGGGACATCACTTGGTGTATTAATTCTCCACTAATTATAACTGATGTGAGAACCCTATGCTGCAGAGTGGCAAGATTCCAGGTTTGGCAGATAAATATTAGAGTAACCATACTTGTCAAATACCTGCCAATGATTCTGAGAATCAATGTTCCCATGACCCAGTTTCTTACCAGGCCTCCTGGTTGGTGGTCTGGTCAACCAGGCTGCTCGATGCAGCTGCTCACAGCCTGACGTATGAGTCGCATTGTACTCTTTATTCACACATCATAATTCCAAGTAACACATTTAAGGTTTTACATTTTTTGTAAGACTTTTTCTAAGTATTTGTCACAGTAATTTCTTTCTTGACTGCTGCGACTTAGCACCTTTTCAGTTTTTGATAAATGTGATAAATTAATAGTCCTCCATGCCACTTAGCATCTTTTCAGTTTTTGATAAATTAATAGTCCTCCATTTTCTGTTTTCATTTGTGTATACTGTATACTGTTCTACAGTACAGTATATCTAATTTTTGTATTCCACAATATTTTATTTGATACAAATTTTTTCATTTAATTTTTGTTTTACAGATCCACCGCTCCTGTGACAAGCTCGAATCTCAGTTCAGTAATGTGAGCCTTGATATTGGTGGTGTAGAAGGCCAACTTAGAGAACATGAGGCCTCAAAACAAGCCGTTTTGGAACTAATGAAGTTTGCCCAAAATGAAGCTGATTCTATTGTGTCCAAGATTAGAGATCAGGTAAAAGTCTTAGATTTTAAGAGTTTGATATGCAGTTAATTTGTGGAAAATTGAAGGCCCTTCAGACATTCAAACGATGAACCTTTACATTAAGTAAAAAGTGTTCATATTAATGTCATTATCATATAATTGTATTAATATCCTCTGTAATTTGGGTGATATTAGTTTGTGACTCTTAAGATAATGTTATGTGAATTTGTAATATGTAGTTAATATGACCAATGCCTTCATGACCAGTGTCCCCCTGAGGCTGGTGCCCAAGATATGGCTGTAATTGAGGAGATGCTGAAGAGACGGAGTAAAGAGTTTGATATGGTGTGGCTTCAGCACCAGAACATGCTAGAGAGACAACTGAGACGGTCACAGTACCATGTTGACCTCCAGGTAATGTTCAATTTAATAAACACCACTGTTCAAATTCGCTTTATATCAAAGAATAATATCCACTGTCAAAGAACAGTGTTTAAAACCAAGACTAAAGAGAAAAGCATATTTTGCTAAAATCTGTTTATGTATTTCTGATAGAATTTTCAGCAATTGTCAAGCTTACATCATTTATAGAAGTTATATTTTTAGTAATATCACGTAGTAGACTTCCAGTTTTAGAACAATAATTATATGACTCAGTAGCTGTAAGAATGATATTTTTGCCATGCAGGTGATCAGTGATCAGCTACGTGATCTGAGTGAGCAGCTCAGTCGTATGCGAGGTCATTATGGCGACTCGTTGGCGGCAGCCACTAATATGCAGGGTGCATTCAATCAGTTCCTAATTACCGTTGATGTAAGTATTTTGATGAGAACTGAACCTCCACTTTTGTAGCACACATTATCAAGTATCCAAGTTTTCTTTCTAATTGTTGCACTTATGAAGTCTTCCATCCATCTTAGGGAAGCTTGAAATATTTTGGTAAGAATTCCTCATACTGTACTAGTTTAGCTGATTGTTAAATGAAGTACAGTACTGATCATGCTTCTGTAGTTACTTTCAGAATATTTCTTATTTTCTTTGGCTTGTTATTATGTCTTCTGATATTTTTTCCACTTTACTTCCCCTTCCTCCATATATATATATATATATATATATATAAATAAATAAATATATATATATATATATAATAAATAAATATATATATATAATAAATAAATATATATATATATATATATATATATATATATATATATATATATATATATATATATATATATATATATATATATATATATATATATATATATATATAATATAAATATATATATATATATATATATATATATATATAATAAATAAATATATATATATATATATATATATATATATATATATATATATATATATATATATATATATATATATATACACAATACAATACAACACATACAATACAATTTTATTTAGGTAAGGTACATACATACAATAGATATTTACAAGGATTGTTTAACTTATAGGTATAGCTAGTACATACAATGCCTAAAGCCACTATTACGCAAAGCGTTTCGGGCATATATAATTTTCGGGCACAATATATATATATATATATATATATATATATATATATATATATATATAATAAAATGGTTGTTGAGGCAATTATTGTTCATGTTCCTATTTCTCATGTAAGTAAGTAGCAAATAAATTTTTTTGTTATATTGTTTGTATTTTAATCATTTGCACACCAGAAATTGTCACTAGTTTTCTCTCTCACTCAGATGCTAGAAAACCGTATTCATACATTTGTTACTACAACGACAAAGATGTTGGGGCCAGAAGATGACTCGGGAGAAGTACAGGAAGATTTGGCAGAGCTGGAGAAAAAGTGGTCTACTTTCCAAATGCAAGTTGGACAATCCAAAAAGTCAATTGAGCTTTCTATTGTCTTTTACAAGCTTGTTGAAGAAGTAAGTTTCAAATACAGTACAGTACTCTGATATCTTAATAACTTACTCTAGCAGATGTTTTAACTTGTTTCCTACTGTTAAAGCTTCAGTTTCTTATTTCCGAGATAAACCATTAATTGTATCCCTATGAACGATAAAAACACAATAAATGTATGAAAAACAAAACAATTACAGAAGATTACTGATGTAAAATATGTCCTGACAACTTGGCCTCTCCAGCCACAACTGGACAGTGGAATGAGAGGGAGTTGATACCAGGATAAGATCACCTCAATCTTAATGATGTCAGTTCATTTAACCAGCACACATTTCCTTTGATACTGGCGTGAATTTTCACATTAAAATTAAATTGTTTCTTTGACTTGTCAGAATTTGCAACTGATGATATAACATATCATTCCACAATTTCTCTTAATATAATGGCTGGCTGTAAAAATTAGCCTTCAGTTAAATTAAATCAATATTAGAGAAAATGTTTACCAGTCTCACCTGCATATATTTTTTTCTGGATATTACTTAAAAGGAACAACATACACGACTTACCAAATTTTTCTCCTGGCTTTGTTTTGAGAATTTTTGTTAATTGTATACGTGTATTTATAGGCTACCTTGACGACTGCCTCTTGACAGATTCTGTGTTCTGTAATTTATCATTACCACAGTAAGCATGATACATTTACTGAAGTCATTGAAATTGAAATTGAAATAAGTTTATTGAGGTAAAGTACTCACAAAGGGAAGAGGTAGCTCAAGCTATCCTCACCCCCGGTCAGTACATCGTGTTAATACATACATATACACACATCACAAACAATAAACATATTACCAAACATTCTGAGAGATAAACATCTACATTTCCTAAGTCATTGTTTGTGGTTGGCTGCAGTGCATAAAATTATTTTCTAATTGAACAGGATCCCTCAATGATAAACCAATAGGATAATGGAGCCCTCTGAAAATGTAATATATTTTAGATATTTCTTCATGTATATTTTCAGGATGACACTATGCCTGTATGAGTAAATACTTTCACTGTCAGATTTCATTGGAAATTTCCTTGAGCCGTTACATGTTTTATTTTAGAATTAACTCTTTACAATGAACTATAATGTTTACTTACATTTTTGTACAGTCTTCAAGTTGTCTAACAATAATAAAATGAATATTTCATAGCTCTGAAAACAGACATTGTGATATTTAAATGCAGATAGATTAAATTAAAAGATTTCTTTAATTCTCTTTCATCACAGGCAGAAGACTGGGTCAAACAGGGTAGTAAGATTCTAGTAGATATAGCCGGTGAATCGGCAAACATCCAAACTCCAGACCAGGCAGAAAAGTTAAGATCCTGCATTGAGCATTTCCTTCAGCCTGGTGAAGAAGCCCAGCAAGAAAGAATTACAAAAATATCTTCTCTAGCTTTACAACTTTATGGTGGCCAACCACCTAGACAGGTTTGATTCTTTTGTTATGTAACACTGTGTAATTGAGAGAAGGTAGAAGGTAACTATCGGGGAAAAACACCAAGCCATTATGACTATATAGCACTCGGAAGGGATAAGGATAAGGATATGGGATGGGACGAGGGGGAGAGGAATGGTGCCCAACCACTTGTGGATGGTCGGGGATTGAACACCGACCTGCATGAAGCGAGACTGGTATAATTGAGAGAGTAAGAGAGAGAGAGAGATTAGAAAGTAAGATGGGTGAAGAACAGGATGGGCTTAGATAGGGGGCTGATTGTATAGACCAGATTTTTACCAAGAGAGGGGCTATTGACAAGCTTCTAGCAAAAGGGGAGAAAGTTGTTTTCTGCCTTTAGGGATTTAGAAGAGCATATGACTGGACTAATTGTGAAGTACTGTGTAAGATTTTAAAGATCTAAGTATTGGGAGAAAGTTTATTAACAGTAAATCTATTTATATGAATAGCAGAGCATGTGTGAGAGAGCTGTGTAATGTCTTCCTGGCTGTTCAATATAGACAGTATATTGATTGGTTAAATTGGTAATGTGAAGGATACCTCAAGCTGGAGTGGAAATATATTGTAATAGAGATAAATTATTGTTCTTGACATGCATGTGGGCAGATAATTCATTTTTCTGTGCTGAGAGTGAGGATTAATTGCAAAAGATTGTGAATCAGTGTGACAGTGTGTGTAAAAGAAGAAGTTGATCAACATGTGAAAATATAAGGCTAAGGTGTTTGAAGTAAGTAATTATAAAAAAAAACCGAGCCAGGAAGACCATTTAGTACCTTCTGGTACAGGGTAAACAGAATAATCAATAAGCCTAGATAATCATTCAGGTTGTCAATATGAGAGTAAAAATATGTAAAACAAGGATATAAAAGGTTTTGGGTTCACCAACAATTTGATTGAGGGACACATGACTTGAAGGAATATTGCAAAAATCAAAATTTTTTATCAGCCTGAAAATTTGGGCATTCTGTGAAGAGGTACACAAACATTAATGGGAATATGCAGTTCTGATAGTAAGAGCAGGGTTCTGTTCCATTAATTGTCTACAAGTTACTCAGATGTGGTCAATGTGCAATCTAGCCAGAGATGACTCCTGCTATGTGTTATGGTGATATGAAGTCCACAGGGTTGTGTTTGAAAGAAAGGAATTGTATGTTGTGGATTTTGTAGATCCTTTTATGGTGGCATGACATAGTAACTTGAACTGAAGGCTAAAAATTGATAAAAAAATACTGGAAAAAATAGTAAGTTTTAAATACTTGGGAATAGTGTTAAATAAAAATATAACTATGGGAAGTGAAATGAGATTGTAAGTAATGAGTGGGAGAAGAGTGGTAAGAAAGGAGATAAGTATAATGAAAGCAAGGAATGCCAGTATGAGGCAGAACAGTACCCTACTGAAAGGTTTGGAATAAGGAAGTGAAACTTGGATTTGGAAAGGGGCAGCATCTTCAAGAACACATACAGTAGACATTTTTTCTTTTTACTTAGCAAGAATTAGCATGTGTAAATATGTGGTATAAGCATTACATTGAGGAAGTTTGAGATGTGATCTGAGTCATAGAAGGGGGGGTGAGGGAATGAAATACAGTATCAAGGTGTGTAGTGTGCTAAGTGTAATACAGTGTGCTAAATGTAATACTGTACATGCTAAGTGTAACACACTTAGGTGGTATGGAAGTTAGTAGAATGTCTAAGAATTGTTTAACAAAAAGGGTGAGCCACCATCATGGAAGAGAAATGTATTCCATACACTTTCCTGCATGGAATACCCCTGGTGTGTTATGGGTATTCCATACAGATTATCTTGTATTAATATACAGTAGTGAGTTTATCTTAGTAATTATTTGTTTGTTTTTCCAGGTTGAAGTTGTGAATCATCAAAATACCCAAATAATAGACAGTTTTACAGTTATCACTCGCAACCTTATCATCATGGAAGAGAACTTGAGAGCTGCTGAGGAACATAGAGAAAACCAAAAGAGGGTAAGTGAAAGCTATATGCAGAATTTAATTACAAATATTCATCCATACATATATAATAATGTACATTAAAACATTGAAAATATCACCTGTCCATTTATTATATCTCACAATACAATTATTCCAACATGGTTAAACATGCACCACCACACTCGAAAAATCATCTCAGCAGCATCCTACTTCTTTATAGTACCAGATGTACAACATTCCTTATGAATAAAAAGAATGAATAAATGAACTTAAAACATTTCTTATGAATAAACGGTCGATAGAGCTTGGACCTCTCATGCCTGGGGTCCATGGTTCGAGTCTCCTAGAGCCCAGGTGAATGGAATTCCTAATGATTTGTCATATGCACTACATAAACATATATAAACTCTTTCTACCCCAACCTCGTCCCTTACAATGTTCTATATTTTGTCCACACTTGCTCCTATTTCCTCACACACACACCATGTCCATCCATCTTCTTTCCTGCCTCCTCCTACTTATATTATATCAAATAATTACAGTATAATATTTATGATAATAATAATAATAATAGTTTATTTAGGTAAACGTACACATAAAATGAGTTACAAGCAGAATGTTGGATTTTTAGGTAGAGCTAGTATATACTATGCCTAAAACCGTGGGAAGACAACTAGTGATTAATTTATTTAATTCTCTATTAATTTAAAGTAAACTGTATTGTAATTATATTTATTACTTATTTATAACTTCGGAGTGGACTATGTTTAATTTAATGTCGGCAATAAAAATGCCTTTCACACAAATTGGGGGGTTATAATTATTAAGTTTGGTTATACTGTAATTAAACAGTTAACATTATTAATTTCACCGCACCATAATTAAACGGTTAGTGTATATTGTTAGTATGAATGTATTATAGCCTTATCTAACTAGAAGGCTTCGACAGTCATCATCATGGAACAGGTGCTAAACACATGAGTGAGCCTGGCTGTAATAGCATCATCTTTCATCACGTTGTATTAAGACTGTTGTATTAAGTATTTATTGATTAATTATATGGGTATTAAATTGATTTCTGCGATGTAGAAACATAATCTCATTTTCTGGAGAAAATTTGCAACGAATACAGTTATCTCTGAATGAGTAACTGAAGTAATTTATTTAATATGGATTAATACAAAATCAGTAGCAATATTATTTTCTACATATTGTATTGGAAGTTAGTAATGTTGTCACGAAATTCCAACAAAAGCCACTTATATGCACAGTGTTTTGGGGAAGATATGGGGAAAACCTTAAAAATTAAGACTTAAAGCTAATTGAGATCAAAATCATGAGTTGAACTGTAGTAAAAAAAAATGGACAATAATTATATGTTTAAGGGAACAGCAGAAATTTCAACAGAACAGCAGAGAGTAATTTAAACTAAATAAACAGATAGACTACAATTGAAGTTTATTTATGTAAGATGTCAAGAGTTTTAAAAGTTAGTCATTAATCATTAATGTTTGAGAATTGCAAGACATAGGTTGACATTTAGGAGGTAATGTAGGTTACATGGAGTTGATTAGGTAGTACTTAGTTTTTCATTTAAACTGGTTAAGAGAGGTACAGCCGTTGACATAATTGGGAAGTTCATTCCACATTCTGGGTCCCTTGATTTGCAGAACATTTCTAGTTTGGTTAAGTCGCATTCTTGGAATATCACATAGATATTTGTTTCTAGTGTGGTGCCCATGGGTTCTGTTACAACTCTCTAGGAAGTATTTAAGGCCAGGATTAGCATGACAGTTCAGAGTTTTATATATATAGAGTACACTTGAGAGGATATGCAGTGACTTAATATCTAACATATTCAAAGATTTAAGTAAGGGGGCAGAGTGCTGTCTGGAACCAGAGTTTTTGTTCTAATACTTGATTTGTGTTGAGTAATTATAGGATGTAGATAATTTTGGGTGGTAGAACCCCAAGCACAAATACCATAATTGAGATAAGGATAGATGAAAAGAGAAATAGTGTTGCCAGGACAGGGGCGAGGAACATATCTGATTTTAGAAAGAATGCCAACAGTTTTAGAAGCTTTTATAGCTATACTGTATTTTGAATGTGGCCCTGAAAATTTGGCTTGTTATGAGAACAATGAGAACACCAAGGAATTTATTATCTTGTTACTAATTTGGATATTAAGAAAATCTGTAGATGAGGGTTCCAACCTATGCCGTGGGTGTTACCACGCACACCCACTAGCGACTAGACCACAACATGGCCAAAAGGATTGCAACCTGGAGTTCTGTTTAACTCATAAGGGTTTCCCGAGGCTTCCACTGAAGCTGAACCAGGATTTTCACACGATCCCCCCCCCCCCCTCCTCATGCACTCTGGCGCTGTCATCTAGGCATGTTCTACCACTAAAGCTCCTCTTTCATTACTCAGAGTAATCACACTAACGTGACTGCATCAGTGAGAAAATTCATAGGCACTGTGATGAAGGTTGTGATCCAGTGTGGTAGATGTTCCCACACACATTCACTAGCAGCTGTCATTTAACATCACTTGGCTGAGTTGATACATGTTCATCTCCTTAAAGTACTTCTGTATTAACTTTGTAATATTATTTTTTCCAAGTCTATAAATGTCATACACACCTTACAATCTTTCTCGTGTGCCTTCTTTATAAACTGTCTCAATGCAGGTATCTGATTTATGCACCCTAATTCATCACAGCACCCACCTTGTTTATCAATTGTAGATGTTATTAGTTTCATGTACTCTTTCAATTACTATCCTGTTCTACATTTTTGACCACTACACTTAGTAAACTATGGTCTCAATAGTTCTTTCACCTGCTAAATTCTCCTCTTTCTGCATTGGTGCACTCGCTGCACTTTTTCAGTTCTATGGCACATTACCACTTTTCCAGGCTCTTTGGCAAATTCTCTGTAACTATTTTACACCTTTATCTTTGTAACATTTAATAATTTCCATTTACCTCATCAATACCTGTGAGTTTGCTTAATTTTAATTTCTTGACTGATGTTCTTGGCTCTTCCACAGATATATCAGCTGTCATAAAACCCATCTCTTTTCTTGCATCATTAAATCCAGTCATGTTCACATTAGTACCTCTTTTATCACTTTCACCAATTAGACTTTCAAAGCATTATCTCCACTACTTCAAATCCTTTCACCATTTAACACTTTCGCGCTATCTGGACGCGCCGGCGCGTCCGGTTTCGTCTAACGTAAACGCATAGTGGACATAAAGTTATGTCTTCTTTTAAAATATTTGTATAAAATTCAATTTTAATCCGATTTCATTGGGGTTTGTTTCAAACGACGCGCCATGAAGTTCTCTTTCTCACCACTAGGCCGCCTGGCGCGTCGGCCTACCCGGTCACGTGACGGGCCCATTGTTTTCGTGTCACATGTCGTGAGTCGATCACGCTCCCCTCGCGCGCCAAACTCGAGCATTTTTACCCATTTCCGTGTGGATTATACCCAATTACTCAAGGTATACCCAATCAAGGTCAAGGCCCAAGCACTTCTACGCCCAAGGAAGCCTCCAGGTCATCGAGAGTGGACAAAATAACTCAAATTTTTAAGAAGTGGAGCGGAGTGAAGCTCACACCAACGAAAATTCCAGGCCCTGTGGAGGATTTATCAGAAGCTGAAGGTGATGTAGAGGTATTGGAGGAAGATTTTGGAACCCACAACGATTATAGTGTACCTAGAGCTAGAGGGAATGATACGGCAACGAGTGATGAGGAGACTGAGGCCCTCACCGAGGAAGAGGAGGCACCGCGACCCCCTCCTCCTCCTCCATCTCGGCGCACACGTGGTGCATCTAGGCTACCTAGAAAAGTAGCTACCAGACATGTTACTCGTCGTAGGAACACACGACAAATTGCGCCAAGTGATTCTGAAAGTATAAGTGATGAGGAAAGTGATGAAGATTCATTCGAGCCTGCTGAAAGGCGTACACGTACAGTACGTACTCGGCAGGCTGGGGCTGGTGAGGGCTGGAGTCGTAGCAATACTTCTCCAGTTGTTGATGATTTTACTGGAAATCCTGGACTGAAAATTCCCAAGCTTACTAGTGCACTGGCTTATATTCAATTGTTCATCACGCGTGCCCTCCTTGAGTTCTTTACCGTTGAAACAAATTTGTACGCCTCGCAGTTATTCCGGATGGCCAATGAAAATGTATCAGATATTTGGACCCCAGTGAAGGTGAGTGAAATGTCGCGATTCCTAGGACTGTTCATATTGATGGGCATAATTAGGCTCCCAACTATGAGGATGTATTGGCAAACAGCAAAGCCATGGCATGCTCGTTTCTTCAGCTTGTTCATGCCGTCCAGACGATTCCAGCATATAAACCAGTTTTTCCACACATTCAATACCAATGCAGTGCCCGTGAACAATCGTGATAAGTTGATAAAAGTGAGACCAGTGATGGATTACTTGAAAGAGAGGTTTGCTCAAGTTTACATCCCCAAGAAAGAGTTGTGTTTGGATGAGGGTACAATGGCATGGCGAGGCCGACTATCCTTCAAAGTGTACAATCCAAACAAACCAGACAAGTATGGTGTGAAACTTTATATGCTTGCTGAATCTGTCTCTGGGTACATATATGACTTTGACGTATACTCAGGTATTGGTAAGACGATAGTGGATACAGTAACGGGGTTGATGCAGCCTTTAGTGAACCAGGGTTACCATTTGTACATGGATAATTACTACAACTCGGTTACCCTGACAGAAACATTGAGAGAACTTGGGGTGTACACATGTGGCACAATTAGAATGCTACGTGGCGCCCCAAAGGTATTGCAAGCTCTAGCCAAGGGTAAACTTCCACTGGATACCACAGTATACCGCCGCAAAGATAATACCTTCATTCTCCTGTGGAAAGACAAGCGAGTGGTTTCAATCATTACCAACATCCACAATGCAGACACTCAGCGAGTTCAGCGAAGGAAGCGAATTCGCAACCGAGACGGAACAAGTGGAATACAACAGGTAACAGTGAACAAACCGACTGCAATTTGCGAGTACAATAAGTTCATGAAAGGTGTGGACCACTTCGATCAAATGGTTAAATATTACCATTTTACCAGGAAAACTCACAAGTGGACCAAAAAGATTACCTTTTATTTCCTGCAAATGGCATTGCATAATGCCTATGTTTTGTACAAATACAACACAACTGATCGAAAAAAGCTAACATTGCTACAGTTCCACGAAGTGGCAATCTGGGCCCTATTGCACTGGGACACAGAGGAGTGGCCTAAAACATCATCATCATCTCAACACTTGCGGCACGCTCCAGACATAAATGATGACACAGCTCCTGCCAATGCTGACGCCATGCCAACTCCCGGACCATCTGGTGTGAGGCGGCCTTTGTTCACTACACCACCTCAAGATGAAGCAGACAACGAATCTGAACCCGACATGTCTGCCACACTGCCAGTTAACGAAACTCTTTTGTCAGATGAATCTGACTCTCCTGCAACTCCTGTTACACCTCCAGCGAGAGGACCTGGCCGCCCTATTGTTGATTCAGAAAATCGCATGAACTACAAACTGAAACATGAAATTTACAGACTGCCCAAACGTCTCAAGTGTCATGCATGCGCACGGTCCGGTAAAAGGAAGGACACGAACTATGGATGCAAGACCTGTGGTGTTGCACTCTGTGTTGTTCCCTGCTACACCAATTACCACTGGAAACAGGTGTATTGGGTGGTGAAGAAGTAACCACCCGCAACAGCTTCACTCCACCTACAAATCATCTGTTGAGCAACTTCAGGAATGAAGAACCTGAAGAAGGTGGAGTGAAGAACAAATGCTCAACTTACTGTTCCACAACCAGCCTTCCCTTGGTAAGTGCACCTATTTGGTCCAAGTTTGTGTAGTATAATTTAGCTCATAGAACATTCTATTGCGAAAACATTGCCACAAAAATGAATGACATACATACAATAATAATATCAGAACAGTGAAATAAGTATAAACTTTCAAAGCAACGTTTCGCGCGTGTGTCGTCCGGTCACCGTTATCGGGTAACAGTGCGCCCACTTCCCACACTCTTGCGGGTGGGCCGGGACCATTATTCTACGATTATATTCATATCACCGTGTTGGGAATTTTATTGGGAGTCCATTGATACCAAAATTAAGGCTGTAGGACAATTGTAGAGGTGATAATAATCCCAAGAGTAAAAACATTTTGTTGCTGTTGAGCGCTCACGGCGACTCATCTTCGTAGTTATTTATTTCATGCTGGTATCTCTATAGCTTTCGTGACTTTTTTTACTGCTGTTCTTCTAGAGAATTTTATTGCGAACACGTTGGTACCAAAATGAAATACGTAGCATGAAAACTAAGGTCAGAAAAGTAAAAAGAGTATACACATTTTTGTTTTTACGCTTAAGCGATAAAAACGCCGCGCGCACATACGGTTGGCTGAGTGACCTTCGCCGAGAGCACGAAAGTGTTAAGATGCTCCCATTTCAATCTTTAACATTCCCATTTATCTATCCACCACAGTAATACACTATGTAATTATTTGTTCCCCTCTGTTCCTCCATCTACTGTATTTGTTTAATATTTGATTTCTTTTTTATTGTTTTTGATTTTTATAATCAATTATTTTTATATGAAGATGCTCTTTGTTATGATAATTAGAACCTGAAAAGCAACACGTTAGATGTAGATATTCTACAAAGAACCAATTTTAATTTGAAATGTTAGTAGAGCACACCTGTACTGAAAGCTGAACCTTGGGTAATAAGTAAGACCAAACAGTTACAGTAAGCCTAAAAAATTAACAAAATGGCTGCCATGTGATTTTGTTATTTAATTTTGTCTATTATACCCTCTCTGTTGTCATTTTGATAAGAAAACATGTGTGTTACAGGAGAAAGAAGAACTAGCAGCTTCCCTTGCAGCAGCACAAGCGGAAGCAGAAGCAGCAAGATTAGCAGCTATGGCTGCAGAAGAGGCCAGGAAGGCAGCTGAAGAGGTAGCAAAAACCCTGGCCATACCTATAGAGCCAATAGTTCCACAAAAGGTGTGCATTAAATTGTTAGTTTACATGAAATTGTATTTACAAAAAATCTCTGCCATTATTATTTTAAGTAGGTACTGTACTGCCTTCAGTACAGTATATTAGTGAAATTCCCCAAAATAATATTAATAATTTATTTGTAAAGTTTATCTCAAACAAAACTGGAATTTTAATAGGTTGAAACAGAAATGCAGACAGAAGCTATTCCTTTGTCTGATGAGGAGGAGCCAAGCAAACAGGAAGACACACCACCACTCAAAAAGGCTAAACTGATTGATGATGAACCGCAGCCAATGCCACCTATATTCCTCACACCGCTTGTTGGAGCAACAGTGACGGAAGGAGTCAAGTTTAGCTTCGAATGCAAGTAAGTGCACAAGAAGAAGCCTTCACACAATTTTCATAATACTGTATTATAAATAAGATGAAGTGACAGTAATAATTAAAATGATTTTAATGGGTTAAATTTGAAAAGGATTTAATTTTATGAACACTGAGTACTTATTATAATTCAGTACAAGTACAAGTATCTCATGTAAGAATTTATCCATAGATTCTAAATGCCTCGCAACACTTTCTCTTGTCACCAATTTATTACACTTTTTGTGTATTAGCTGAACTGTGAAATGTGAGAACTTACTGTACATTTAATGATAGCAAGTATGCACTACATATCTTCTGCTACTCTGGGAGTTGATATAGACTTGTCAGACATTTCTGGGTATCCTTATTGTGAGTACTCTAAAAACAAAGTTCATTCACTGTATTTAAATAAGCTAAACAGAGTAAAGTTTTTGTTAGGAGGAAGAGATGATTCACATATTCTCTGGGCTATTCAACTTTGATGCACCCCATGGCAGGATCAAAGAAGGTCCTGGGTCATGATTAGTTGGGCAGGGTGACACTTAACAAAGATATAACAATAATCCTTTAAAACATCTTTATTGAGTCATACTGGTATTAGGGAGGAACTTTAGAAATGCTCACTTCAGCCCAGAGTAACTGCAGAAAATTTACTCATAAGCACTTCGAGCATTTCCATGTTCTACTTGGCATTAAAATAAATGGTAAGCAATATTCTTGCAAACTGCCAGTTGCCCAACTAGTTTGCTCCAGGACCAGGAATTTATGTTGGCACTCGCATTGGCACTCCATTTGTGTTGGGCAAGGTCTTCGCCAGGTGTTGGGTAGGTCAGATAATAACTCTAGCTTTGGCCCACAGGACTCTCCTTTACCTGGGCTGAGAGCCTGGTGACATGTTGCTGGTTTTGACCAGTGGTTTGCCACATGGTGCTGTTGACTATGGCAGCCATTGCTTTGTGAAGAGGTTAGGTGCTTTAGGCAGTTTTATGAACAGCAATGTTCACTCATTCTTCGTACAACATTTTCCCTGATTAGGTCAGTACCACCCATGGTCATGCCCAGTCTACTGTGTGTGGGCTACAACTCTGGCTAAAAAGTTTTCTTGACAGGTTGCTTATGTCACTGCTGTCAAGTTTTGGTATTATGTACATAAGTATCAGTGCTTGTGGATTCAGTTTTTAGCTTCTGCAGTGGTCCACTCACCTCTTTCAGGTTCAGGGGTGTTGGGTCAGGAGTCCTTCCCTCAGCTCTTGAGTGATCATTATGATGGGGTTGGACTTGGTGTGGTCAACTTAGCCTCTTTGGTGGGTGTCCTGGTTGTTCCTGGTCCTCAAACGGGACTCAGCAGATCTGCAGTACATTTTTAATCCCTCGGAATTGAATAGTTTCATTCCTGTCTGACATTCTGCATGATCACTTTTTCTCTGGTTTGCCTAGTATTGCAGGCAGATTTCTAGATGGTGTCTCTGGATCTTTAGGAGACATACTGGCACATAACCCAAGGTTCTGGGACTAGTTAGGGTTTCTTGTGGAGCATCAGGCTTTCCACTTTATGGTTCTTCCTTTTGGTTCATCTAGCTCCTCAGATTTTTACCAGGGTAGTGCGAGAAGTTGGGATCCAGCTACATTTCTTGGGGGTTTGTGTCTTGGCCTAACTTGCGAACTGGCTGGTTTGGGCTCCCAACCAGTCTGCATGTCGGTTAACCAGAATCTGGTTCTTTCCCAGCTTGCCAGGTTCACATTCCTGGTGAGCTGGCAGAAGTCCCAGATGATTCTGTTTTAGGTTTGGATCTGGTTGGGCCTGGTTTGGGGTTCCCAATTGGCTTCACCTTGTCCATTCATGTGATTTTTTAAATTTTTGTCTTGGTTATTTGTTGATCGCCATCTTGTGCCTAATTATGTTGCCACTTAATTTTTAGCCTTAGTTGAGCCGCTTTTGTTGACATTCAGGATCAACGTCTCCATGGCACTGTTTCACAAATTATTTCTTCCTCTCGTTTACCTCCAGCTGGCTCATACTCCATCTGAGCCATCCTGGTCTCCTGATAGGGTGTTGGTGTTTTTCTCCTCCTCCTCAAATTTTCCCCCTTGAGTCCAGGGTACATTTTTTTAGGGCTGTGTTTTTATTGACTCTCCCTTCCAGTTTTCAGGTAAGGGAGCTGCATGTTTTCCTCTGGAAGCATTAATTTTTGCTCTTTTGGCCCTGATGGGTAGTTTCTTAATTTGTAGCCTTTTCCGGTGAAGAATGAGAGGGGTTGGCTCCTAGAGCGGCCCTTTTATTGTTGTTTGGTTTGCCTGGCAGAGGGTAATTACCTAAGTATAGGTACATGATGAGAGCTATGCTCGTGTTATTCTATCTTCCCAGTACTCTTTATTGTATAGTGATTTGAAACTACTGATAGTTTTGTCCTCCACCGCTTTCTTGCATAACTTGTTCCAACCGTCTACCACTCTGTTTACAAAAGAAAACTTTCTAATATTTTTTGGCACCTTTGTTTCCTTAAATTGAATCTGTGTCCTCTTGTTAACGAAGTTACTGGTTTCAGAAATTCCTCTTTGTTGGTTTGGTCGATTCTTGCTATTATTTTGTAAGTGGCCATCATATTTACTCTTTTCTTCTATCTTCTTGTTTTGTGCATCATTTATTGTGTCTGGTAGCAGTTCATCACTAGTTGCATGCCTTGTTGAACTACTCTTTGTTGGACATGTTATTTACTGGTTTCCTGTTCCTCGGTTTGTTTTTTCCAAGTTGTCCACTGTGAATTAAATCTAAAAAAAAAACTGCAGTCTACCCTTGGGCCCCATGATATTGACATTTTAAGTAATCTTTGGTGATTTAAAACTTAATATGTTGGGTTTAGCATACAATATGTACCTTCTATTGCAGGGTATTGGGTATGCCAATGCCAGAAGTTGAGTGGCAGAAAGACAACATGAGTATCACAACCAATCCCGACTACAAAACAAGCTTTGAAGAAGGTATTTGTACTCTTACAATTGAAGAAACATTCACTGAGGATTCAGCCCTGTTTACTTGCAAAGCTGTAAATGCCGCAGGCATAGCTGAGACTTCAGCAGTGCTAACGGTTAAGGGTAAGTATAATTGGTAAAAGTTTGTTGTATGTCAGTGCTTGCAGTAATTTTGTTTTGCAGTAAAAGCTGTAATATCTTAAATTTTGTGATGTAAAATTTGTAGTGCTGAACCTTACATGTGGTTGTGATATGTATGTGAAAAATAAAGAATTAGAGAAGTTAGTGTCAAATCTGAAGAGCATGAATAGTGTGAATTTGTAAAACATCAGTAAGAGAGCTATTAATTAAGCTCTGTAATTCAGCTTCTGCTCTAACAAATCATCAGTAAAACTCGGTTAACATACTGTATTTTCTTATCTTCACAGAAGCCGAACCTGTAGAGGTGCTGTCACCACCATCATTTACAAAGAGACTCATTGACAGCACAGCACAGGAAGGTTCCACATTCCAGTTGGAGGCCACTGTTGATGGTCATCCACTTCCCGTTGTCTCCTGGGCTAAGGATGGAAACTGCATTGATGAATCTCCTGATTATGTTATTACCTTTAACAATGGTGAATGTGTGCTTAGGTTTGAAGAAGTGTTTTTGGAAGATAAGGCTGAATATTCTTGCAAAGCCACTAATGACCTTGGTGAAGATGTTACTAAAGCCAAGCTCTCGGTGACTGGTATGTTAATAATGTATTTTGTCACGTGGGATGTTGTTATTTTAGATCTATAGAGTTCAAAATTTATCTGAATTTAGTGTATTCAAAAATAATGTTAGAAGTATCTAATTGCCTCATTGTAGTACCCTATGCTTCTCTTTGCTCCTCGGTATGTAATCCACAGTATTAAATCCTATTTTCCTAGTGTCATCATTTTGCCGCTCCTGGATCCCTGTGCTACTAATTCACTCTTAATAGCTACACTAATAACTCCCTAACCAGTATAATTTTTTCATTAACACAACTTTTTCCTGGTACAGTACTGTAGCCTACTAATTTTATATGCAATACTGTAGTCATTGTCCAAGTTTTAGCATTGCCACAGTGCAGTTTATATCGTACTATATATACTGTTACAAATACTCCATGTATACAGTACTTCAAACATTTGCCAGGTTAAGACTTATATGAAGCACTTTGTGTACTATGCAGTATATCAACCCCAAAAATTATTACAAAAACTATATTGTATTTACTTGCATTATATATATAGAATATCATTTTTAACATAATTTAGTATAATTTATAAGTTTCTGTAATTGTATTTGTAAAAAATTGTATTTCAGCTGTTGAAGTAACCGAACGACCCAAATTTACAATGCCATTAAGTAATGTGATGGCACGGGCAGGGCAGAAGTTCAAGTTGGAATGCCACGTGACAGGCATGCCGAGCCCTACTGTTACTTGGTTCCATAATACCAAACCAGTAAAAGAAACTCCAGATTGCAAGGTGAGAGATTTCATACAGAGTAAAGAAAAAATTGGTTTAATTTTTCTTTAGTGTAATCTTTATAGTTGTAAATATAATACTTATTTTTTATGATCAGTAATTTTTTCATAATTGAATTCACAAAATACTTTTTCACTCCTTTCCTTTATCTGACTTACATTACCCATTTAACAACTAAATATAATTGTTTCTGTAACCATTATATTGCTTTATATATTAAATTGAAATCATAAGAGGATTGCTGAGTGTGTGCAATGTCTAAATAGGCAAGCTACATTTTTAAACCGTGTTTTCTGTGCTGGGGCGCTGCTCTCAGTAGTTCGCCAGAGCTTATGGTGCTGACTTCTCAGGGTCACCCCATCCCCCCTCCCACACTCAATGTTAGACTCTTGAGACTTCCTCAGCCTAGCAGTAGTGACAAAAATATCTGCCTCTAGAAGGTGTGGAAAGCATATGTGATCAAAGATCTCACAATCAAAGTGAATCATCCAAAATGTCTAATGGCAAAGCAAAGCTGGTGTTGAATGTAATGAAACAACACTGCAAATCAAACATGATAGGGCTGATTTCATCAAAATGTTAACAATACTTAACAGTTTGGAAGATGTTGATCCAAATAACTTCCGCAAAAGGTCAGAAGTAATGCAAACAAAGAGCAGTGGTCTCGAGCTCGATAAGCCACAGTGTAAGACTGAAAACAGGGGATGCTTTTTCATCCACAGGGTTATAAACCCATGGAACGAACTGCCTACTTGCCAAAGCTGTAAATGCCAAAACTCTGCTGAACTTTAAAAATACAGCTTAAAAAATCATCAGTACAAATGGGGGAAACTTTTAATAAGCTGCTGGCTTCCTGTCCTCGTTGAGAGAACTCGAGTGTTAGTGGCCCTCGGGTAAATTCAGGAAATGCCAATTACTGGGTGATCCCCAGTGGCCCCTTGAAGCTACAATGCTGGTAGTGTCACTACTAGGTGCCATCAGTTCAAAGTAGTTCTTTTAGTAGGAAGTAGCAAAGTTCTTTTATGGCTACTGGGGACCATGAGCCAGAACCTGGTCCTCTCTAATGAGGCATAGAGAGCAGTGGTACTGTGATAAAATTGTCAGTGAATTTTTAATCATGTCTGCCACCACGGGGAAAGTCAGCAAAACAGACTACTGCTGATTATAAAAAATACCAAGACCTTAAAATCGCTAAAAGAACAACCCCCAAAATTAAAACAATCAAAAATTCATGAAACTAGTGCTAGCTAGTTCGACCCACCTTCCTCCCCTTGTTTGTGGGGAGGAGGGAGGCAGAGCAGGTCAGCTAGCTGCTCCATCCTCAGTTTTATGATTGGGGGAAAAATCACCCCGACACCCTGTGGCGGGGAGGGTGTCAAGGAGCCACTGAGGCTCACCCAGAAATTGACATTTCATTACATTCAACACTGGTTTTCTGGGGGAAGCCCCTTGTGGCTACCTGAAGGAGAAAGAAAAGAAGGGGGCACACCAGGGTGGAGGAAGCATCACAGGTACCGCAATGAAGAAAATATGGGCTACAATACACGACCCAAGGCCGCACAAAGCTGACGAGAAGGAGAAACATTGACGAGATACCTGGCTGCCAGGACCCCTGTTAAACTGCCAAAACTGCTGCACCCGAATAATGGCCTAAGACATAAAGTATTGACAAATACAGCCAAGAGATGGGCAAATATCCTTACGTCCTGGGGCACAAGAGTAGACCTTAGGCTGGTTAGACTTAATAACACTGCAGATGACCTGAGAAACACAGGCCTTGGAACAGGAGACCAGGGAAAGTGGATCAACTTCAACGAGTCCACCGAGCAATGTGTAAAGAACAACACATGGTTTGATAAGGTGGAGAACCCAAGTCATCTCTGAAGTCACTAATCCTTGATATATTATATCTGAATGAAGGAAATTTTGGTGATAACATTAAACAGCATCAACAGGAGAATTTTACACATTTGTAAAGTATGTAATTTGACAATCAAAAAAGTATGTGAAAATGGGACAGGAGGACATAATTAGAAATTCTTTATAATAGAATATTTCCTCTATTTAAAATGTAGATAAAATAAAAATAAAATTGAGACTATTTCTGTGTTTGGGAAAACTGGATACAATTAGCCATTTATCGAACCATCCTCCTGTTTAGATAGTACCTATTGTGATGATAGTCAATAGACAGAATTCGTATGTTCTTAGCTTTTAGATAGTAGCATACTGACTAGTAAGAAGATATTTTAAAATACATGAAGCTAAAACACAATAAATATTCCTAGGCCTAGTATAGCACACACGTATTATATTAGGCCTCGGATGTTGTGTATTAGTATATATAGGATAGGAGATCAATTTACTTTGTCAAAGCAACACAAGTAAAAAATAGTTTCCGGTTTGTCCAGCTCAACCGTTCAGACTTCTACATTCTAATGTCATTGTACGTCGGTATATATACTATGGTCCTCATCGTTACTATAAGTACTATCAAAACAGGAGTATGGTCTGCATTTATCACAGTCAATACAAAATCAATCCTGAATATTATGTTCAGTTCAATATTATGTTCAATCTCTTGATGTCTTCATTCATGGATATCAACATTATTAAGTGAAAAGAAACTTGAGTAGCTATTATTGAGAAATTATTACTGTATCTCTATTATAAAAATTTTGATTTTTCAAATTCAGATAACCTTTGATGGTTGCATTGCCACCCTGGTTATGTCAGAGGCATTCCCTAAAAATGCTGGAACATATACTGTCGTGGCCAAGAATTCGGCCGGGGAAGGACAGTGTTCTGCCAACGTCTCGGTGAAGGTTAGTGTTTATTTAATTATTAACTGTTATACTATAGTACTCATGATAAATGAACTCATACTATTGAACTCATGATAAATTGTAATTTTCATTAATGTTCATTAATTTTGTGATTTTTTAAATTAATGATTATTTAACAAATAATTTGTTTTAATTGTTATTTCCTTTTGCATGCTACTTCATAGATGACAACTGAACAGGCCCAGGTTTGCCACAGTATTAATACACATTTAAAATAAAAAACACATTTTCTCCTGTTTAAAACCACACAGAAAGGAAAGAAAAATCAATTTATAGGGTATAAATGTATTTCCACATAGTAGTTAACAAACCATATACATAAGTTTAAGCACAATAAGTAAACAGTAAAGGCATTGTAAATGTTTCAGAATACATTCATTTTTGTTTAAGTATTGTAAAAGCATTATAACTACAAAATTGGAGTTCTTAATATGACTCACGAAGATTATCATCATCTCCTTAATTCCCTGTATTCAGTACTGAACATTTAAGGCAGGCATGTCAAACTGAGGGTTCCTCGAGGGCCATATCATATTTGTGTTGTCGTGAGGGCCACACAACAATTAATTGAAGTCATTTAATGAAAATTATTTCGGAATATAGTATCCTTTGTATTACATAGTAATATAGTACTGTGTTACAGTATCCTTTGTGCGGGCTGCAGGTGTGCTTGCAAAGGACCACGTGTTTGACATTCCTACTTTAAAGTACAGTATATCTGTCTGCTTCCAACAGGGCCGCATTCCAACAGAGACGAGTGACTCTGAGGTCACTTCAGATATAGATGTGGAACCTGTGAAGCCCACTGTGCAGCTTTCCCTCAAGGACACTAATGTCAAGGAGGGCAGGAGTGCCAGGCTTGATTGTGTCATTATTGGCCAACCAGAACCAGAGGTAGGAAAATATATTAGGGCTGTGCATAAGAGAATTATTTGTTGTTTACTGATAAAATCATAAAACTTTATACAATAAGTTACAGTACATAAAATCCTATAAATTTTGTTTTGAATCAAAATTTAGTTTGCAAATTATTTCATATACTGTATTATTCTAGTTACCATATTACAAGTTTATGATCAATGTCATCCTCCTTGGCACCCACAAGAGTGTTATCTTAACCTTTAACTTTTATTATTATATTCATGAACTGGTAAAGTGCACAGGAGAGTTGTAATGGTGTATGAATTTTAATAAACAGTGAGGGGTTGTAATTCTCTGTCGACTGATATGCAGTGAAAGAGGTGTAGTATACTGTACCTTAATGTAACACTGTTGCTTGAAATTAATCAATTCCAGTAAACAAATAAAATTCATAGATTAATTTTTGTTCTTCCAAAATTGTAATTAAAATATTGTGTTTTTGGTTACTGGAGAAGATTATCTCAATTGGTCTTTTTACTTTCTGCAAAATCTGAATACAGTATCCCTATCACAGACATGAGACTTGTTGGATTTTTTTTAATAAAAATATAGATTTCTAATTCATTGAATGATTCCTTAGTCTTTAATAACACAAACAGTAGACTTGAGCGAGCATTAAAAGGAGTAGATGGACCAAGGTGGTGTGTATTAATGTAAAAGAGAAAGGGGCATGACCAGAGAAAGGTTAATTGATGAAAGATAAGCGTCTTGATATCCATTCACACACAAATCCACACAACAATCTTATCATGAGTAATAATATGTACTGGTATATTTTATGGTTGGCAGCTGCCAATCTGTGTAGGTAAGTCAGTCATACAATCTCAACAGGTTTAACTTATTTGAAACTTTGCTGTTTTTATTTTTAGGTGATATGGTATCATGATGATAAACCTGTTAAGGAATCCAATGACTTTAAGCTACTATTCCATGGGGATCGGTGTTCACTCATTATTCAGGAAGCATTCCTTGAAGATGCTGGTATATACAGAGTTGTTGCTATGAACTCGGCTGGTGAAGCATCAACGGCATGTTTCCTTAATGTTGAACGTAAGTCAACCATAATTTGCTACCATTTAGATTCCTATTTTATATACAGGTGTAGAATATAATTATTATTACTGTATTAATTATTAACTGAAGTAATGTCCTTGAAATATGTTGAAAAGTTGATGTTTTCATATTAATAAGCTCTATAATATACTCCAGCTATCCCAGAGCCAACTCCACCTCCAACAATAGAACCTCCTGCAGTAGCACCCAGGTTTTCCATGTTACTGGCTGACAATCATGTTACTGAAGGGAATCCTGTTACTCTACGTGCTACAGTGACAGGTCAACCGAAGCCTACAATTGCATGGTTCAGAGAGAACATGCCACTGATTCCTGATGAGGAGTTACAGGTAATTAAACTACTGCATTTTATTCAAAAAAGAAATAAAAATGTGTCTCAGAAATACATACATACATATATAATAGTGAGAGAAAGAGGGATTGAGAATAAGAATATATCATGCCTAGGGTTGAAATAAAGGTGAAGAGAAAATTTCAACCACAAAGACAATATCTATAGACGAGGAAAGTCTCAAGTAGATTATGACCATGGTTTGATGTTCACATCTTGACTTTTAAGGTAATGTTAATAAAAATACTTTATATGTAAAAGATACTGCAGAGGAAGATACAATTAATAGGTCAATTAAAGGGTCTTGTTAGTACAGAAGGGTTCGTTCTCGACTCATATCCTTATTCTAGGTTCAAATCTTGGATGGAACAAATATGATTGGGCACATTTCCTTTCATCTAATATCTCTATTCACCTAGCAGTAAATAGGTTCCTGAGAGTTTGTCAACTGTTGTGTGGTTGCATTCTGGGGAGGGTTAGTAATTCCATTTTGGGGGGTGGGAGGGCCCCTCGATAAAAGCCTAAATGAGTTATTATTATTATTAATAATGTACAATACAGTATATGGACAGTTTCTTTACAAAGAGTGCATATACCTTTGGTTATCACAGGTTCCTCTATCTTTCTAACTAAACTGTGAAGCTGCAACAGACCTCAGTCCAACATTACTTGTAAAAAGTTATATGAATATGTATTAAGTTTGTTTTGATGAGTGTTTTCTTATTCCTTCAGATTCATGAGAGCTCTGATGGCACTGTGAGTGCAACAATCCATGCTGCATCCCTTGATCACACTGGCCAGTATGAAATTGTAGCCTCAAACACTGCTGGAACAGCCAAGTGTGTAGCATATCTAAGCATTGAACCACGTTTGCCCACACCCCCAGCTGCAGAAAACACAGAACCCCCAGTGTTCACCAAACTTATTACTGACACCACAGTCACATCTGGAGGCAGTGTTAAGTTTGAAGCTGAGGTTCAGGGGCTGCCTACGCCCACGGTGAGTGATAGTAATTATTCCTTAAAGACAGTTTCTTATGTTCTTGATAATTCAGATATGTCTGCCATAGGCAATGGTGACATTGAACAGACAAGCAATCTGAATTATATTTGTAATGAAAAGTTTTCACTTGATGTACAAAATGGTATTACTAGTACAGGTATTCAAGATCATGTTGATGATCATGATGATGACTTGGGTATTGATGCGGGTGTTAATAATAGCATGAATGTGTTAGGTAAAGATGAATTTGCTGACATGATGACAAAATTCAGCCAATTAGGTTGTTTTCCACTTTCTAATGATTACCACACTGAACAAAATAATGATAAATCAATTAACGAAGGGGAGAAAGATGCTTGTGATGAATACGAGAATAGTACCAAAGTATCAAAGTTTCAGGATTTGAAAATATTAGACTTTGATACATATTCCCGTTTCATGATGGAAAACATGGTCGTGTATGGTTCTCTTGATGATTCTGAGGATCCGGGGTCTTCAGCAGAACTGGATCAATTTTGTAAGTTCAATAACATTGAAGTTATGACTTCAGAAGATTACTCAAATCTCATTGTATCAGACTGTGAATCAACAAATAGCTCAATAGACATCAGTGCAGCTGATGAAATGGATAAACATTCTGGCAAATTATCTCCAATAAATGAGGCTGGTATTCAGAAACCCTCTTGCTTCCTTGATACTGGGATAAGCGACAGCTTGCAGCCAGTGAAACTTGTCGATTTATGGAATCTAATTAAGGATAAGTTACCTGATCCAGAAATACAGGCCGAGAATCAAGATAAAATAAACAAACAAGATTTTTCTTCTGAAACTGACACTGAGAGTAATAGAAAGTCTGCATCACTAAGTTCTGATGGCGATCCTGAATCGGGATATTTTTCGGGCTCATTCACTTCACAAACTGTTGGTTCAGAATCTGCTTTTGGGTCTCCAGTATCTGGCAGATCTAAGAGAAACAGTTATGCATTATCTTCTGAAGAAGAACCTTCAACAAGAAGCAGCCCAAATGAAGATAAGGTAGGTAGTTTTCCTACTGTTTCTAAAAGTACCACTGATGATAAGCATTCACCATTCTGGAATCATTCAAGTGCAAACTCTTGCTTATCTAATGTTACTAGTAATGGTTCTGATAGTTCTTTAAATATGTCTTTCAAGAATGACATTGGTAATGAAAGCATTTTGGATGCTGATGATACTATAAATGCTAAAGTCTGTGATGAATCTACAAAATTGTATGAAAAAGAAGTTAATTTCATCTCCGAGAGTTCAGCTGATTGTAATTTAGAACGTAATTTTGCTAATCATGCTGTTACGAAAATTTTTGAGAAATATGAGGATGCTTTCACTTCAAGTGTTGACTTATCCCTAGATATTTCCACTGTTGCGATGTCATCTGAGACCACAGCTGTGAGCCAACCAAAAAGTGATGAGGAGATTTCTATATACGAACTGGCTAAGAAATGTGAAACAGAGGGCGAGCAAGAATGTGGCAATATAGAAATCACTGTAAATCGATATCTTACCCCATCTCCTGAACATATTTCAGAATTTATACGGTGCCCAAGTAGTTTGTCTGTAATATCGGAGGAAAGCTATGTCTCTGATAATGAAGAAATTTCAAGAGTCGGCAGTGATTCAAACAATAATGAAAATGAATTTATAACAAAATTTGATGTACAAAGAGAAAATCTAAATGCTTACTCTGAAACTCTCCATATTAAAGATGAATTATCATTAATCACCAGTAACTCGGATACAAATGAAATTGAGAGACGAGCAAGACGAGCTGCCCGGTTAATAAAACTTCGAGAACTAACAAAGGTACTACAAACCCCTTCAAAAATATCTAGAACTTATCCTAGAATAACTACTAACTCTCATTTTAAGTGGCAGGATGAAGTTTGCAGTGTTCATACCTGTAAACCTATTGAAACTTTTGCAAGTGCCGAGCAGTTAATAGCAGATTTCGATGATACGCAGCCTCTAAAAGAAGACGCTAATCTGCAGTCAGTTGAGCCTGAAAATGTTAAAGAACCAAGCAAAGCCCTTTTATTTATAATAAAAACAGTTGAACAACTCTCTCAGCTTGAAATAAAACGGATGATAATGGAAAGACTTCAGACAATTATTGAGGCAGGACAGGCATGTATCAGAGCATATGTATTCCCATTTTCTCATGCTACTTTCATCGATCTAAGTCAGCCATCTCTTGTTCATCGCTCACTTAATACGTTGACATCAGGGAGTGCCCATAATATGATCTTTGAGACGTGTCTTCATGCAACAAGAGATCAAGGAGCTGTTCTAGATGGCGAGTGTGTAGATCAGGGTACACCAACTATAATCCAGGCAGGTTACTATCTCATTTATGTTTTGTGTTATAAAGAAAAAAGCAAGCTAAATGAAGGACAGGCATAATTTAAATTGCTGGAAATAAATTTTGTAGTCTGTTAAAGATATTGTACAATATTAAGTGCCATAATAATTATATAGATAGTCTGGAAATATATTTGTTATTGATTATATTATGATAAAAGGAAGTTTAGAACATAACACATGAATAGAGGACACTGTAGAGTGAAATGTGCTAAAAATCTTATCGCCATAAATTGTTAGATTTACTGACCACCACCTTCAGCTTCTGTTAGAATTAGTTAGTCACTTAACCAAATAATTTTGTTTTAATCTGTTGACACAACCAAAATTCCATAATGTATTGGGGTTATAGTTTGGGTTAAAACTGTAGGAATAGAGATTTAAGCAATAACGAGCCCATTTTTCTCTATTTGGCTGAATGATTGATTAAGGGATAGTTGGAATGGGCTCCTTCAATATGCTGTACTTGATACTTTAGCACCCTGCCTCAGCTTAGGCCTATATTTTTTAAAGGTTATGTTACTACTCTGTAATGTATCTAATCAATATATTGTGCTTAGATGATTTACATTATTACTTAGTAGTTGTAGTTAATAATGAATGTAAAGAATAAATGCTGCATTACATTAATATAGAAGAGTTTGGTCAAAGTAAATGGGATGGATTGTTAACATTTACAAAAGAATATAATATAGTGGTAGCTAGTGTAATATTTGGGCAGAAGGTAGGCCTATGTGAGGGAACAAAGCATCAGAAGTATAGATAGAAGAATCGGTGAGCAATGAGTACAATAATAGAAGCACTCAGTTGGCATTCATTAAACTGAAAGGTACTTAAATAATGGGGCAGTTTTGAACAAAGATAATCTGCTATATTTAAAGACAAATACAGTAATGTAATAATGAAATAGGAAATCATAGTAATTTTGAGGCTACAATAATTTTATTTTACAGCATACTGTATTGTATTGTGTAATAATACAAGAATATGTGTGTGAAATTTAATGTACAGTATAACAAATATTTTTATATACAGTACTGGTAATGTATATAAATGTAATGTATAGTTTTATACAGTACTTAAAGTTGAACATTTAAGAGATTTCATAATTGGATGTACATTTAACTAGAGGTGTATCGATGTATTGGCATCAGTAAAATTTCATCTGCTACTTCGATACTTTTTTACACAGGTGGGTACATGAGCAGATAACCTCAGGCTCATGTTTGCATGCCAAGAGCTCTCCCTCCCACAGCTTATTTTAAGCCTTACCATACCAGTTTCCCTGGAACATGATCTGCCAGTCGGTTTATAACCATATGTTTCCTGATTACTGATGGGTGAATAATTAAGAATTGCTGACCAACCATCTCTCCCTCTCCAGAGGGATGAGTTATGTGAAAAGACTAAAGGAATTAAACCTCACATCACTGGAAGACAGAAGAATTAGGGCAGATATGTAGCATAGTGGTCTACACTGTTGGCTCACAACTGAAGATCCGAGGTTCAATCCTTGGACAGGACAGAGATGAGTGGGCATGTTTTTCACCAGATGCCTGTGTTCATCTAGCAGTATAGGTACCCGGAAGGTAGACAGTTGTTGTGGGTTACATCCTGGGAAAGGTAATCGGTAGTTGGCCTAGGGAAACCTCGATAAGCCTAATAACAGGCATTATGTCCCCAATTGTGTTCACTCTAGGGTGAACCATGAACCATATAATTCTCAGGGAAATTGACAGGGCAGAGAAGGAAACTTAAGTATCCATATGAGCCAAAGAGACATTGGAAATAAATTTTCACTGTCATAGTAGATAACAAATGGAATGCACTATAAAGTGAAGTTATGGAGTCAGACTGTCAGACTTCAAATTTAGATATAACAGAGCCTAATAGGTTCAGAGGTTGGACCTAATAAAGCCAAAGCTCAATCCCAGCATGTACAGTTAGGCGATTATCTCTTCCCCTTCCCACCAAACTGTGCCTCAATCCAACCCAAATCTAATCCATTCTTGTACCATTCATCCTACCTCTTACTCATTTCACATTGACTAATTGTTTTTGTGGGGGATGAACTTTGACTTTTTGGTGTCGCCTCTCAACCTAAGTTTTAAGTAGGATATCATAAGTGTGTTGTAAAAAATCTTGTGCTCTGCAGCAATGTATCCAATAGTATTAAAGCTTTTTATCCAAAGTTTTCAAGCATGACGCGGTAATAATTCCTGTTGTACAGGAGAGTCTGTATTTAGGATTATCAAACCCCCCCCCCCCCCAGGTCAATTACTGATGTTTCCCAGGACACAACCCCACAACAGTTGCCTAACTTCCCGGGGTACCTGTTTCCTGCTAGGTAAATAGAGGCCTCAGGTGAAAGGAAATGTGACCAACCCTCTCTGTCCTGCCCAAGAATTGAACTGGGTCCCTTGATTGCGAGTTGATAACGTAGATAGCTGTGTGACAGGAATGTAAGGCATCTTGTACCAAACCACTGCAATACTAAATAGCTATGCAAGTTGCAATGATTTATTTATTTGAGTTACTAATCAGTAATCACTGCTAGGGAGTCCCATATAACATAAGTGGCATTTTAGTGAATTCTGCTGGAA